TGCTTCAGCCTCCTATCTGGGACTAGAGACACACACCACCAAGCCTGGCTAATTTTTCTATTTATAGTAGAGTCTGGGTTTCACCATGTGGGCCAGGCTGGTCTCAAATTCCTGGTCTCAAGTGATCAGCCCACGTTGGCCTCCCAAAGTGCTGGGATTACAGGCAGAAGCCACCACATTTGGCCGAATTCTTATATTTAAATCTTTAATCCATCTTGAGTTATCACCTATATGGTAATTGTAAGGGATCTAGTTTTATTCTTCTGCATATGGCTAGCCAGCTATCCCTGCACCATTTATTGAACAGAGATTCTTTTTCCCATTGTTTATTTTTGTCAACTTTGTCAAAAATCAGATGGTTATAGGTGTGTGGCATTATTTCTGGGTTCTCTATTCTTTTTCATTGGTCTATGTATCTGCTTTTCTATCAGTGCCATACTATTTTGGTTACTGTGGCTTTATACTATAGAAATACTATACATGTCTTTATTTGGGTTTGAGATTTCCTGGGTGAATTAAGGATGATGGTTTTGGGCATTCGCAGTCTCAAAAGTTCATCCTCACAGTATCCTTGAGATTGTATTCAAGGGATGAGAATTACAGGAAAATGGCTTGAACCTGGGAGAAGGAGGTTGCAGTGAGCTGAGATCTTACCACTGTACTCCAGCCTGAGCAACAAAGCAAGAGTCTGTCTCAAAAATAAAAATGAATAAAGTTTAACACATCTGTCTAGAACAGTAGTTAGTGGATGAATCTTGCAGCCCTCCAGAGTGTTTGTACCTCTTCCTCCCGTATTTGACATCAACCCATGAACTTGCCCAGCTGAAGTTCTCTGTCTTTGATACTCATTTTTTCGGCTATCATTCTTTTTTTAATTTTTATTTTTTATTTAATGTTATTTTTTTCATATACTTATTTGCAGTGAGCAGTCCTTTCTTTACTATAGCACACATGTCCCTTGCTGGTTAGGAAAATGTGCTATCATCTGGTTTTGCAACATATAGATACAAAATCTGGAGACAGGTTTTCCTCGTGGGAATAAACTAGGTAGAAGAAAAGATGAGTTCCTTCCTTCTTAAGTCATTAACTCTCATAGTAAGAAATGACGATGCATGAAAGAATCAGGAAAAATTTTGCAACCTAAGTAAGAAATTACCAGCTATATATTTTATTCACTTTGGACTGCCCAACAATTTTAGGTTATTGAAAAGAAAAATATGTAAAAGCATGGAAGGAGGGGTAGACTGGGAAAACGTAACACACTCAGGCCTAATATGTACCTTTCTCTGTAACTGATACTCCGTAATTAGCTAATTCCTTGCCTTTACACACTTAACTTTTTACTTATCCTCCTCATAACATTTTATTTTTTCTATTTTGTTTTTGTTTTTTGATTTTCTGTTATTGTTTCTTCTCCTCATAAAATGGTTTGGAATCAAAATCCAGGCTGAGTAACCAAAGCCTCTTATTCCTCCAAAGATGCACCTCTCTGTGTGGACAGAGGCTCATGAGCAGAGCTCAGAAGTTGCTTCGCTTTTGCTGAATTCATCCTATGGGGTTCAGTCTGAAGGAGAGCAGATGGTGAGCTGCTCTGAGTTTTAAAGCAATGCCAAAATCCCTGTCTTTTAGGTCCCAAAGCCCCTGCAGATCCTTAGAAGCAATGACAGATATAAGATATTAAACTTTAAAATCATAGAAAGCATTCTGGAAATTAACAAACTGCCCTTTGCAAAAGATTCTGGGTACCCTAAGTGTGCAGGTTTGGCAATAAAGCAGTGTAAGAGGTGTAAATGAAGTCCCTGATTTGTCACCCAAAGCTGACAAGTACTGCCCTTAGGTATTGCCTGGGATCTGGGCCTCAGACAATTTATTAATGCTGGTCTTGGAGAAAAATGTAACAAACCATGTCCAGGCGTGGTGGCTCATGCATGTAATCTCAGCACTTTGGGAGGCTGAGGTGGGTGGATCACCTGAGGTCAGTTGTTCAAGACCAGCCTGGCCGACAGGTGAAACCCCATCTCTACTAACGAGAGTAAAACTTCGTCTTTAAAAAAAAAAAAAAGTGTACCAACGTGTTAAGGTAGGAATTTTGTGACCTAACCTAGCTATGGCCTGTTCCCCCTCTTTTAGTGTTTTCTACTCTTAATTTATTTTATTGTAAATTGACAAGTTATAATTATATATATTTATAGGGTACAAAGCGATGTCATGATCTATGTATACAATGTGGAATAATTAAGTAAAGCTAATTAACGTATCCATCAGGCCAGGCATAGTGGCTCACACCTGTAATCCCAGCACTTTGGGAGGCCAAGGTGGGTGGATCACTTGAGGTCAGGAATTTGAGACCAGCCTGGGCAACATAGTGAGACCTCATCTCTACAAAAAAATAAACAAAATGTGGCCAGGTGCAGTGGCTCATGCCTGTAATCCCAGCACTTTGGGAGGCCAAGGCAGGAGGATCACTTAAGGTCAGGAGTTCGAGACCAGCCTAGCCAACATGGTGAAACCTCACCTCTACTGAAAATACAAAAAATTAGCCAGATGTGGTACATGCCTGTCGTCCCTGCTACTCAGGAGGCTGAGGCAGGCGAATTGCTTGAACCTGGCGGGCAGAGGTTGCAGTGAGTCCAGATCGCACCACTGTACTCCAGCCTGGGTAACAAAGCAAGAATCTGTCTCAAAAGCAAAAATAAAAATAAATAATATATATTAGCTGGGTATGGTATGTGCATCTGTAGTCCCAGCTACTCAGGAGGTTGAGGTCGGAGGATCACCTGATCCCAGGAGGTCGAGGCTGCAGTGAGCCGTGATTACACCAATCTAGCCTGGGCAACAGCCTAGGATTACAGATGTGTGCAATTGCGCCCTGCTGAGGTGCTCTCTTTACCACACCATCTGCCTTAGCCACCAGATAGAGGAGGTCCAAATCTACAGCCTCTGTTTCCTGTGAAGGCAATTGGAGAAAAAAAAAAAAACAAGAGTTCGTCACCTCAAATACTTACTCATTTTTGTGATGAGAACATCTGAAATTTACCAATTATGAAAGTACATTATTAAGTATAATCACGAGATGTAATAGATTCCAAAAACGTATTCTTCCTGTCTAATTAGAACCTTATAACCTTTGACCACCATCTCCCCAGTCCCCCCAGCCTCCACTAACCGCCATCTATTCTCTACTTCTATGAGTTCAATTGTTTTAGATTCCACATTAAAGTGAGAGCATGTATCTACCCTTAATTTCTCGTCATTAAAAACAAAACAAAACAAAACAAAAAAAACTCTCTTTTATGTTAAAAACTGAAGACATCTAAGCTGTATTTTAGAAAAATGTAGAATGGGAAAAAGGAAGAATGGAAATAAGAGAAGATTGATTCTTCCATCAGAGACCACAATTAACGTTCCAGAACATGCAGGAAATTCTGTATGAAGCTAGAGCTAAGGTAAAAATAAAGTGGTTTTGAATTTATATCACTACAGGCAGCTTCCAACCTAAGAAGCAGTTCAGTAGTAAAAGTGTTTATTCTCTAAGCTGTTGTTAGAGCTCAGAATTCATTTTTCCACAGACACATTATAAATGATTGAGCTCACAGATCAGCCACGAAAAGTCAATTTAACTACATTGTGAACGTAAAGGACAGATTCATGGTTCTACTTCAAGTTCAAAAACCACCCTTTATAGGATTTTTCTGATGGGAAGACCTATATTAAGTTCCCACTTACAATACCAGGCATATTCTATGCCCATTAATCTGATGCTCCCATTTGAAAATTATCAGCAAAATGCTCAGGAATTCCTAACAGAATGAGCTAGATTTAGGTCTCCTGTCCCCAAACTTTCCAGAAGTTATTATCCCTTGATACCTGTATAGAAGAAATGTTTGGACCTGTCCTTTTTGGGGTGTCTGAATTAGGAGAGAAGAGTATAGGAAACAGTGTGGTAGAGAGAGCACCTCAGCAAGGCGCAATTGCACACATCTGTAATCCTAGGCTGTTGCCCAGGCTAGATTGGTGTAATCATGGCTCACTGCAGCCTCGACCTCCTGGGATCAAGTGATTCCTCCATAGGAAACAGAGGCTGTAGATTCTGACCTCCTCCTCTATTTGGTGGCTCATGTGATAAGGCAGATGGTGTGACAGAAAGAGCTCCTCAGCAAGGAGCGATTGCATGCATCTATAAGCCCAGCTACTTGGAGGCTAAGGCAAGAGGATTCCTTGAGTCCAGGAGTTTGAGATCAGCCTGGGCAACATAACGAGACTCCATCTTAAAAAATAAAACAAAACAAAAAAGAAAGAAAGATCAAGAGGTTATAAGTCAGCAAACTTGAATCTGAATCTTGACCACCACCTGTGTAACCCTGGATAGGTGACATTACATGTCTGGGCCTTACTTTTCATTTCTTAATATTTTTCACATGAGAAATAAATATGAAATAAACGTCAAATTTCTGAGAAGAGAACTTACAGCTTTCAAGGAATTTCAAAGGAATCTATTACCATCATCATGACCCCAAAATTAAGAACCACCAAACAAAATGAACTGCTAAATCCTTTCAGCCCTAGCATTTTAAGTGCCAAGTTCCGTGTTACTTCTCAATTAGAAACTGTCTATTGATGATTTATGCACTTAGTATTGCAATCGTCCAAACAGCTAGTAACATCCTCCACACTAGTTAAGCAATAAGCAGAAGGACAAATAAACGTTTTATACACTTTCTACATGATTTCTCATTCTCTGAAAATCTTTTCTCTTGCTGTAATAAAAGATCTGTCATCCCTAAATTCTCAATTTTCAGACTGAGAATCTACATCGATTGAACTAATTATATAATTTTTACTTTGTGTGGGAGACTTTTTTCTTTTTCATATCGTCAATCAATTCATCCTTCTTCTTCAATTTATTTGACATATTCCTTGTTTTTAAGTGTTCCGGAACAAACACAGAGGTTGAAATCTAAGGTCAATATCATAACTTAAAAAAGAGTTTTTTCTTTCAGGAAAAGGAGCGTTGAATTGCTTAACCTGTGTGTGGAGTTACCACCTCATGGGAGGGATCTGCACCTCGGAATGTCTTGTTGGAGAATACAGAGTGGGAGAGGTATGGAGGGCTGGGAGTGTGGCGCCTTCTGCTCTCTCTAGAGAGGAACATGAGCTTAGTTCCTGCATGTCATTCTGGGCAATGCAAAAGTCCCAAAATTCTCATACTATAGAAATAGTGTATGTTTAATATTTTAAAATCTTCTACCAGCCAGGCACAATAGCTCACACCAGGCACAGTGGCTCACACCAGCACTTTGGGAGGCCTAGGCAGGCAGATCATGAGGTCAGGAGTTCGAGACCAGACTGGCCAATATGGTGAAACCCCATCTTATAAAAAAAATTAACCAGGCATGGTGGCATACATCTGTAGTCCCAGCTATTTGTGGGGCTGAGGCAGGAGGATTGCTTGAACCCAATCACACCAGTGCACTCCAGCCTTGGCAACAAAGTGAGACCCTGCCTCAAAAAAAAAGAAAGATTACATGAGTGGTAAGTAACAAAGCTGGATTAAACCTGAAGGATGGTTTAAAAAAAAATTTTTTTTTTTTTTTCTTTGAGGAGTGGCCTGGCAAAGGCTGGTATTTGGCCTCAGTATATGTAGCAATGTTATTTTGATCTATATTTTGGGTGTATGTTAGAAAACGGATTCACAGGTTTTTTTTTTTTTGTTTTTTTGTTTTTTTTTACATTATGGGGACAATTTTTATAGGTAATGCCTCAGTTCTGCATAATAAACTTGAGGATGGGACCATAAGTTTGACCACGGCATCCAGTGTCAACAGTTGCCGAATGTATGGCCAAGCATATCGTTTCTTGGGTTCTGTCCTTTATATACATATATTTAACAGAGATGAGGTCTCACTATGTTGCCCAGGCTGGTCCTGAACTCCTTGGCTCAACAGATTCTTGGGCCTCCATCTCCCAAACTGCTGGGATTACAATACATGAGATACAGGATTCAACGAGATAATACAGTTGAGAAAGCACCTTAGCCGTGCCTGAAACACGCCAAGGTGCTCAATAAAAGCAATTTATAGTCCTTCTTTTTCTATCATACCATATTTCCAAAGTTACGGAAGTAAAACAGGAATGCGTCTTCCCTAACCCGCATTTCCAGTGCCAGTCAAGGAATAACTTGTCGGGAAGGAAGCCACTTTCTTCTCATCTCTCTACTTTCTTCCCATAGAGATTTAACTACTTGAGCTACAGAGCCACAACATATATTATTCTGGGGCCAGACTACAAGAATCCAATAAGTACAGAGGCCAAGCAGGTCACTAACATACATGCTGGGTCAAAGAAAACCACAACATAAGCCTGAAGCTTGAAGTGGAAATTGATGTGTCACCTACATATTGGTGACAAAAGGGCAAGTGCTGGGGATTGTGTCAAATAGAAGAGTGAACATCAGGGCCATTGCCATGTGGGAGTGATGAATCCAGTTGACAGGTCTTCTAGTTTCTAAAGAGAAATTAGGAACAAATTTACATGTGAAATACCCCACTTTTGAGATGTGGGAAATGAATGCAAAATATTTTAAACTGAAAGTCAATAGTGCGGGCCAGACAAAACTAGTCCTTGACCTGAGCTGTCCTTGAGAACATGAGCTGTCAGTTCCTAACCCAAACTGTTCTAGACATCTGTTCTCCCACTGTTATTAGCAGATCTCAAAAGGCAGGGCCCAGCCGTGATTCCACCCCATCACAGACAGTTGGTTCTTTCACCCAGCACAGTTAAAACGGACTCAGAACACACCACCCTCCTTATGGAGACAAGGTAAATGCCATCTGGAAACTCCAGTGCCTTGTTAATACCTCTGCACTCAAAAGGAACCTCTTGGTTGCTCTTAACAGGGAAAGACATTTAACTGTGAAAAATGCCACGAGAGCTGCACGGAATGCAAGGGACCAGGGGCCAAGAACTGCACCGTGTGCCCTGCCAACCTGGCGCTGCACTTGGACGACAGCCGCTGCCTCCACTGCTGCAACGCCTCTGATCCCACCAGTGCTCAGGAGTGCTGTGACTGCCAGGACACCATGGGTGAGGGGAGAACAAGAGCAGCCTATAGAGGAAGGGCATGTGCTCAGGAAGCCAATGGGAACAGAGGGAGGGGGAATGGGAAGTTCAGGAGAATCAATAGGGCTACCTTTTTATTGAGTCCTTACTATGGGCCTACTGTACTTGAAACTTCACGCCCATTGTCTCACTTCATAAGTAGAGATTATCAGTCCCACTTTACAGATGAGGAGACTGAGGCTCAAAGAATTGGATTTGCATTTCCAAGTCCACACCGATAATAAAAGTTTCATCTGGGGACTGGGTGTGGTGGTTCACTCCTGTACTTTGAGAGTTCACGCCTATACACATCCCAGCATTTTGACAGTGTAGGGTGGGAAGATCGCTTGAGTCTAGGAGCATGAGACCAGCCTGGGAAACTTGGAGAAACCCCATCTCTATTAAAAATACAAAAATTAGCTGGGCATGGTGGTTCATGCCTGTAATCCCAGCTACTTGGAAGGCTGAGTGGGAGGATCTCTTCAGCCCAGGAGGCAGAGATTGCAGTGAACTGAGATCGCACAATTGCAGTTCAGCCTGGATGACAGACCAAGATGCCATCTCAATTTTTGTTTAAAAAAAAAAAAAAAAAAAAAATGAAGCCAGGCGCGGTGGCTCAAGCCTGTAATCCCAGCACTTCGGGAGGCCGAGGCAGGTGGATCACGATGTCAAGAGATGGAGACCATCCTGGTCAACATGGTGAAACCCCGTCTCTACTAAAAATACAAAAAAATGAGCTGGTGGCGCGTGCCTGTAATCCCAGCTACTCAGGAGGCTGAGGCAGGAGAATTGCCTGAACCCAGGAGGCGGAGGTTGCGGTGAGCCGAAATCGCGCCACCATTGCACTCCAGCCTGGGTAACAAGAGCGAAACTCCGTCTAAAAAAAAAAAAAAAAAAAAAAAAAAAGCTCATCTGGAATTAGATTCTCTGCTTGCCTCCAAGACTAGAACTCAAGTAGAGCTAGCATTTTATCTTTATGAATCTACTTTGTTCCTTTTTTCATTCTTCTCTCCTGGGAAAAAAATGAAAACAATCAACTATCAAGGAAGCTGATGTCAATATTATCTTGATTCTGTTGAAGAATCATTCCGTGAAAGTCAGCCCAAACCTAGACTTCTCATTAGAGACTGATGACGTTTTAGAAATGAATTTTTCTTGAAGGATAAGAAGTAAAACCCCCTTTACCAATTTCCAGTCCCTCAGCTGTCTCCACGTCTAACCCCATCCATGTGGGTACTTGATTCTCATTGGTCACAAACTTAGAAAGATCTCAAACTGAGAGATTTCTTCTCAAAAAAGAAACACATATTCTTAAAGTATACTTTCTATACCAGAAGTAGATAATTTCCTTGGGGTTCAGAAGTAACATTCACCAACAAAAAGAGATGCCATATTTGTGAGTCTGTCCATTTGTAAGTTAAGAAAACCCCAGACCCATAATTGCTACCAGCCATTTCTCTTTTATTTTTGATCAACATTTTCAATTGGGTTTTAAGTATCATCTTTCCAAAAACATGTTCCTTCTTTTAGCTTTCCTACCCCTCTGAGCACCTGGTTTTCCCTGTTCTTCATACACACCTACATTGAGGGTCTGATTGCCTAATATCCATCCTGTGTCAGCCAAGAATAATAACCCTCACAATATTAACACCTTTAAATGAAACCAGAAGTTTGTGCATGTTGCGTGCAGAGTTTGTGAAAGCCTGTTCCAACTAAGAACTATCTTGTCAGCTTTCCTGATCCCCTGAGGCTCTTGATGAGACACCTGCAGCAATCTGCAAAGTCTAAATGCTCTTGATTACCTGATCCTTCTTTACAGAGACACTCTACCCCCTCAAAGAAACCATATCACAAAGGCTAACCCTGACTCTGCAGACCTGGGATGGAGAATAGTAGGCAAGGCATGATTGCATATGGCACCCCCATAACTGAAACGACCTCGAAAGGATTTTTATATTGATTCTACTGCTTCAGGCAGTATTTATCTCACAGTACCACACACAGATTGCTTATCAATCTCTCCAATGCTTTAATGTTTTCTCCAGGGAAGAATTTTGTGTAGAACTTGCTAATGATTAATGTAATAATGATAGGTCTGTTACTTCAGAAGAAGGAACTCAGCTTGATAAATAAAATCCCATGAGAATTATGATAAAATAGAAAACTTGCTTAGCACTAGCAAAAAAGAAAAATACATAGTCATGATGAATCAGATCTCATTGGTCAATATTTAATAAGCAAAAATCATTGCACCTTGCAGCAGTGTTATATTCATTTATCTAGTGTGTAACGTACCTAGAATCGCTCATGAAAGTATCCCCTGAACAAGGGAGACCCAAGAGGCTCAACAAATATTTATGGAAAACATACTGTGTATTTCAGCTTGTACATCCAACATGGCCTGATAGTTTTTTCCCTCTGGTTCTTTCAAACTCCCATGTGGTGAGTTAAAGAACAGAAAAAAAAAAAATAGACTTTTTTTTTTTGATTACCCAAATCATACCACCTGGATAAATGAATAAAAAGTAAGACAAATGACCTCATCCTCATTACTAAAGTTATAGTTGAATCTTTCCTTCCGTGAAACAGTTTTGGTAACTCCATATTCTCAGTCAATGCATCGAAACAGAGGCTGATGGATGACAGGGGTCGGAGCTCTGGATTTCCAAACTCTTAATAATTGCTGGGTAAGGTGGCTCACACCTATAATCCCAGCACTTTGGGAGGCCAAGGCAGATGGATCACCTAAGGTCAGGAGTTTGAGACCAACCTGGCCAATATGGTGAAACCCATTTCTACTAAAAATACAAAAATTAGCGAGGCAAGGTGGCATACACCTGTAGTCCCAGCTACTCAGGAGGCTAAGGCATGAGAATTGCTTGAGCTTGGGAGACAGAGGTTGCAATGAGCCGAAATATTGTGCTACTACACTCCAGCCTGGGCGACAGAACGAGACTCCATCCCAAACAAAAAAACTCTAATAATGATAGGAAAAAACTGCCTATCATTCAAGTTGATAGGATTTAAAATGGTACTTCTTTATCTACCAGGCTAGGAGCACAAAACTCCAGGAAGCCATGGAACAGCTGTCAGAGCCTTCTGTCCTAATGTCTTCAGACTGTAGCATGGAGCTAGGATTCCTGGATTTGAATTCTGATTGCTCCACAAACAAGATCTTGTATCTGACAATGTGACAATTCACTTTCTCTCAATGGACTTTAGTTTCCTCCAGTGTCAAACAACAAATTGGGCTAAGTAATTGCGAAGGCTCCACATGGCTCTCAGAGTCAGTAGTTTTTGTTTTGTTTTGTTTTGTTTTGTTTTTTTGAGACGGAGTTTCGCTCTTGTTACCCAGGCTGGAGTGCAATGGCACGATCTCGGCTCACTGCAACCTCCACCTCCTGGGTTCAGGCAATTCTCCTGCCTCAGCCTCCTGAGTAGCTGGGATTACAGGCACGCGCCACCATGCCCAGCTAATTTTTTGTATTTTTAGTAGAGATGGGGTTTCACCATGTTGGCCAGGATGGCCTCGATCTCTTGACCTCGCGATCCACCCGCCTTGGCCTCCCAAAGTGCTGGGATTACAGGCGTGAGCCACCGCGCCCGGCCGAGTCAGTAGTTTTATAAATTATCTGCTCTTGCCCTTAAGTGGTGGGACAGCCAGGCTGGCCCCAGCTTAAGGTAGCTTAGGAAAAGACTCAGTCTTAGAAAAGAAGTTGGAATCGGAAAATAAAATAGAGCATTTAGCAATAACTAAAGCTTGGTCCAAGATGAAATATTTTCTTAGGAGGGAAAGAGAATAATCAGTTGATAAGGTTGGACACCCGGTGGCTGACCTATGAGATACAGGGATAAGGGAACTCCCTTTGGATGGCAAACTGAACTTTCTAGAAGGATTTATTGGCTTCATCAGACATAGACTAGGATTCTCAGGGGGTACATACTCCAATTTTATACAGTGGTGTACCTTCTAGGAAAATCAGAGACAGGCCAGGTGCAGTGGTTGTAATCCCAGGACTTTCGGTGGCCAAGGTGGGAGGATCTCTTGAGCCTGAGTCTGAGACCAGCCAGGGCACCATAGTGAGACACTGCCTCTACAAAAAATTAAAATTAAACAAAGGAAAATCAGAGACAGTGATTCTAGCATTTTCGATTTTTAAAACAAAGGTGAAATTCTAGCTCAGAAACTAATTCTCTCTATTCTATTTCTTCCACCTTTTCCCTCTTGCCTCTTCCTTTGGGGACTTCTTCCAACAGAAGAATGCATCCTTCGAACAAGCAACGTTGGGCCTGCAGCTGAGCACTTCAAGACAGCTCTGTTCATCACCTCCTCTGTGATGCTGGCCCTTCTGCTCGGGGCAGCTGTGGTTGTGTGGAGGAAATCACGTGGCCGAGTCCAGGCAACAGAAAAGGCCGGCTATGAAAAGCTGGCCGACCCCAGCAAGTCTTACTCCTCCTATAAGAGCAGCTATAGAGAGAGCACCAGCTTTGAAGAGGATCAGGTGATTGAGTACAGGGATCGGGACTATGATGAGGATGACGATGATGACATCGTCTATATGGGCCAGGATGGCACAGTCTACCGGAAATTTAAGTATGGGCTGCTGGATGATGATGATGAAGATGAGTTGGAATATGATGATGAGAGTTACTCCTACCAGTAAACGGGCACACACACACCCCCCCCGGCCCACCCATCATTATTCCACTCTCAGGCATGCCTGTGAGCATCACTGTTTTTGGTTTTATCCACACACCAGGCTGATGAGTGAGTGTTTCTATTTGTCTTCTTTAATCACAAGTCCAACCAGAATATATAATATGATGAAATACTTTGTTCTTCTTTTGAATGACTAAACTCAATTAACAGTTCCTGTTCAACCATAATTGAGGAGCAAGGATAAAATTCAGAGATATTTTCCTCAAAATACTATGTCAAGACACAAAAAATGCAGGAAATAAGAACAAATGAGATTTGTGCAAACCCTTCTATGTGATTAAAAAAAAAAAAAAAAAAAAGGACAGTAGATCTATAGAAATTTTATTTCCAAGCTGCACTGTGGTGGCATGTGCTGCCTCCTGGTATTCTGATTTTTCTTTATCTAATTTTCTGTACTTAATGGGGGTACAAAGGAATTGTTGGTTTGCAGGTATTTTTCTCCCCTTTAGCTGTCCTTTAGGCAGAGATTTGTTTCGTAAAGGCCAAGAAAAGAGGATTCTTATCAATTGACTCCAGACCACCCCTGGTGAGCAGAAGAGATCACCTCTGCTGGGCTGCTCAGGACTTACTTGAGATAAGAGAAGAGAGAAGTTGCATCATAGCTGAGGAGCCAAGAGGTCACCAGGCCCTTGTTCCTCCACAGGAATCCAGAGTCACAAGGATTCTAAAGGCAGAGCAGGCCCAGGAGAGAGACAGGCAGGGCAAGCCCAGTGAGAAAAAAATCACAGTTTCCAGGAAACGCACCATCATGATTTTCTGAGTACTTTTCCCCTGGGAGACATCAGCTGCTAAGACATCGAATAATAAAAGAGAAACTGGCAGTGTTAACATAAAATGGAATAAAGTGATAAATACTTCATCCACTCTAAAAAAACATATAGAGCTTTCCTTCATCAACAACCCATCACAAAACCATGGACTCTCCATAGAAAGAGCTGGAATAGAGTCTAACATGGAAAACAAAAATCCCAATATGCTGCTCACAAGCTGTATTCCGGCTGCCGACCAGCCTTCCAGCACTGCTCACCACTTAGATTTTTGTTTCTAGACCTCCTAGGCTTCCCTTTTTCCACTCTTCTGTCATGCATGTTCTTGGATTCATGTGCCTGAGGACAGTTTTTCTCCAGATTGTAACACAGAGTGGGGCTCTTGCTATGCAAAATGATGGTTGGCAGGGTCTTACAGATTTCCTTGTCAAAGCAGACCTTACAGGCAGTACTAGGAGTGGAGCACCAGAAAGTGAAAGTGACATTTTCAGAGAATGATAATTATAATCTATTGCATACCTACAACCAGATAACAAGCTAAGTAATTCCTCTAAAAAAAAAACACCCGACTTTCCCACTTTGGTACTTAACATATTCCCATGTGGTTGGTGTTACTGTTACTCTGTTTTCGTAGGAAACCTGAGGCTTACAAGAGAAAAGTAACCAGCCCAAGGTCATGCAAAGCTCATCAAGATGCAAGAAAAAATAACAGCCACCCTAAAGCGTGTGTTCTTATAACTATCTACTGACATAAGGTGGGAAATAAGCATCCTAAATATAATTAAAGGCATGCCTACGATTTTCATCTATAATATCAACTTTATCTTTACTAAATTCATGCATTTTCTTTTTTTATCATATGTAATCACTGACATAGAAAATTTTTATGAAGAAATCTTCAGTTTACTAAAGGCTTGTGTTTCTTTAAAGGAAAGCTCTTAAAACATGGTTGACAGTCTCTGGAAAGAGCCAGCTAGTAAGTACATTAGGCTTTGTTGTCCAGAAAGTCTCTGTCACAAGCACTTAGCTCTGCTAGTGTAGCATGAATGCAGCTGGTACACAACGGATGGGCGAGCTGTACTCCAATAAAACCGTATTTATGGACACTGAAATTTGAATTTCAGATAATTTTCACATATTATAAAAGTGTATTCTTTTGATTTTTTTCAACCTTTCAAAAATTTTAAAATGCAAAAACTATTCTAGTTCACAGCATTACAAGAACAGGTGGTAGGTCAGATTTGGTCAACAGGCTGTACTTTGCTGACTTTATCTTTAAAATACTCTTCAGAGATCATGTGCATCACGTACATGCATGACACACCTGCAAAAATTGTGATCATTTACAATTACTTCTTGGCCAGGCATGGTAGCTCATGCCTGTAATCCCAGCAGTTTGGGAGACTGAGGCAGGCAGGTCACCTGAGGTCAGGAGTTCGAGACTAGCCTGGCCAACATGGTAAAACCCCATCTCTACTAAAAATAAAATTATTAGCTAGGTGTGGTGGTGCACACCTGTAATCTCAGCTACTCAGGAGGCTGAGGCAGGCGATTCACTTGAGCCCAGGAGGCGGAGGTTGCAGTGATCTGAGATGGCACCATGTACTCCAGCCTGGGTGACAAAGCAAAACTCTGTCTCAAAAAATAACTAAAATTATCTCCTTGCCAGGAGTGGTGGCTCATGCCTGTAATCCTAGCACTTTGGGAGGCTAAGACAGGAGAACTGCTTGAGCCCAGGAGCTCAATGTCAGCCTTGGGCAACATAGTCAGACTCCCATGTCTACAAAAAATTTAAAAATTAGTCAGGCATGGTGACAAGTGCCTGTAGTCTCAGCTACTCAGGGGGCTGAGGTGGAAGGATCACTTAAGCTTGGGAGGTTAAGGCTGCAGTGAGCTGTGATTGTGCTACTGCATTTCAGCCTGAGTGATAGAGCTAAGACCCTGTCTCAAAATAATATTATCTTTTCAAAATGTATCTGAAGCCCTGATAGTTCTCCTTTCAATTCTTAGAAACATAAAAATATATGCTCGATAGCTGTCATATCAATGTAAGGCTTTCTCATCTCTGTAATTGCAGTTAGCTTACAAAACCACACAATTTTGTTTATACTGTGTTCATTTTCCTCAATAATTATAAAGCTCTGATAGACTGAGTTTCACATTTCTGTAGACTGGAAATTGTTTTGTATGGAAAAAAAAATCCGTGTTTATGATACACAGTTAAAGATTGGATGAGGTTGAGATGAACTTCAATACTAAGAAAAATTGTGGGCTGGGCATAGTGGCTCATACCTGTAATCCCAGCACTTTGGGAGGCCGAGGCAGGTGGATCATGACATCAGGAGTTCAAGAACAGCCTGGCCAATATGGTGAAACCCTGTCTCTACTGAAAATACAAAAAGTAGCTGGGTATCGTGGTGCACACCTATAGTACCAGCTACTTGGGAGGCTGAGGCAGAAGAATCGCTTGAACCCAGGAAGCAGAGGTTGCAGTGAGCAGAGATTGCACCACTGCACTCCAGCCTGGGTGACAGAGTGAGACTCTGCCTTAAAAAAAAAAAAAAGAAAAGAAAAGAAAAAATGTGGTGTTCCTCTGTGTGGCCTGCAATGGAAAGTAGGCTCATGCTTGTGTATTGAGGTTTGACATCTTTCCTTCTTTGTTTTTAGTCATGCAGCGTTATTCTCAGACAGCTTTTGAATACTATGCAATGACTATCTAAATAGATAAATATGTGGTTGGAAAACAAGGCACCTTTTAGTTCTCTGCTTGAAAATCATTTGGAAGTATTAAGAGAATCCTTGCAGACTGGAAACACACCAAGAGGCTGAATAAAGCATGAGAGGTTCCAGTTAATAGAAAGTAATTTTAAAATTGAATATAAAGTTAAATCAAGACCAGATAATACTATGCAGACTTACTTATTAAAGAACTATTCCTAAGCATTTTTATGTTTTTATGTGCTTAGCATTACATTTTACCAAATGAGATACACAACAGTAAGAGTGCTATTTTTTTCTTTTTATCTGCCTACACCTAAAGACCAAGCTAGCCTTATCAATTCTGAATTTTCTCTCCTAAAAACCGGCCCAATCTGTTCTTCAGCCTCATCAGCACTGCCTCAATCAGGCCCTCAGCATCGCTCCTCTAGACCATTCGTACTTCCTCCTGAAGTATTGCTCAGCTTCAATCTCTTTTTCTCCTGTTGTATCCTCTACACTGCTATCAAAGATAATCTCCAGGTTTCCTCAAATCATTCCATTCCGGGCTCCCTGTCACCTACACTGATTATGACATTCCAAACTTTCCCACATAGGACCACAGGCTTTGTCTCTGGACTTATCACCCGCAATTTCCTGGCCCCCTTCTTACTTCCCAGTTTCTCCATTATGCTCGAATAGTACTGAATTGCTTCTAGGTTCTCCAGGATAATATCCTGTTATCTCATGCCCTTGGGCACATATGGTTTACTCTCCTTGGAATATTCTTCTCCCACCTTAACCAGCTGGAAAATTCCTGACCTTTGAAAAGTCACATTTCCTTACAAGCCTTCCGCAGGAAATCTTCCCTGATTTTTGAGAAAGTAAATCACTTTCTCCCATCTCTGCTACCTAGATACTCTGGGCATATAGTTTTTCATATCACCTTGTGATATAATTGTTAGATTACAAAGCTCTCTACACTGAAAGACTAGTTCCCCCTTGAGGCAGCCACTGTTTCTTTTCTAGAACCCAGCACAGGGCCCAGCAAGTGGTTAACAATCAAGACTGATCATTAGAATTGAATTTTAAGAAGATAAGACTCTTAGATATGAAGAACCATCAGCTGATGATCTAGGACATACGATGTGTATGCAGTGCATTCCTGTTTAATCCTGAGAGTAAGTGGTATGGTGGGGAGGAGGTGGCGGCAGTTAAGCCTGAAATAGCTGCAAATCAGAGAACACAGAGATGGCTTCATGGGAAGATTTGGGCGTGGTCTTAATTTGAAAAAGAGGACGGAGGCAGGATTCTTTGAAGAAGGCACTGGAGTTTACCTGACTTTTATGATAATAATTATAATAATCAATTACCAAGTATTTATTAAGTGATTAGCATGTGCCCAGCACTATTCTAGTTAGTGGAAAAACAGCAACTGGGATCCATCAGATCTGAGGCCTCATGGGACTTTCAATCTTGTTAATGTAGGAGCTAGAAAGAAATTATTTAGGCAGAGGGCAAGGGTGACAGAGTCCTAGGTAAGGTTTCCTTTTTATAAAAAGCAGCCCTTAGACGGGTGTCAGGCACCTGTAATGCCAGCTACTAGGGTGGCTGAGGCAGGAGAATCACTTGAACTCAGAAGAATCACTTGAACCTGGGAGGTGGAGGTTGCAGTGAGCCGAGATCACACCACTGCACTCCAGCCTGGGCGACAGAGCAAGACTGTCTTAAAAAAAAAAAAAAAAAAAAAAAAAAAAAAAAAAAAAAAAAAAAAAAAAAAAAAGCAGCCTCAAAAAATCAAGGTGCAAGCATAGATAAGCAAGCTAAAAGCTTGC